TTGTGATTTCTTAATGAAGTGGAACCTTGCCGTCTATTTGCACTGCAGGAAGGTGAAACAAGGATGTGGATTCTACTTGGTGCATTACTTTCTATACTCGGCGGTGACGATGAAGGCATCAGAACTAACAGTTACAAGGGCTGTTCAAAGGTGCTATGAGCAGTTAGTAAAGCACAATAGATTTATTTTAACTTTAAGAGTCAATGAACAAAGGACATTTAAGAAGTTGGGTTATTAAAAGGGGACTATCTAAGAAAACCTCCAATATCTTTACAATGTCAACACTTCCAACTGAAGATTGCACACTTTGGATTTTAATCTCCAAGCCAGTGGAAGCAGACTTTAAAATTTTTTGCCACATGAAACATTTGGGCTTCAAGATGAGTGAGAACCGACATCTGGAGATTTGGAACACAGACTGTAGAACCTTGCATTAAGACCACATGGCTAACAAGACAGCCTAAGCAAAGGACCCTTTGTTGTTTCCTACGGGCTTATCTTTTTTCATAAAAAAACTACCAGTTGTGTGTCGAGTGTAAAGAAAATTTTCTACAAAGTGGCAACCTACCACCTTAAATTGCACACGGATCAACAAGTTCGACGTACAAGGCTAACCCATAAATTTACCAACGACTTCCATAAAATGACAATCGTCCTGATTTTGATGGATCTGACGATTTTGGGTGGAGCTGAATGCTCCTTTAGTCGATGCTTCCAGGCCGTAATGTCAAAATTTGTAAAGCTCCCAATCGTGTCGCCTGATAATTACCTTAAATGTCATCCAGACTGGGTTGTTTGTAGCTTTTTCAATCCTCCCTTGCAAAAATGGCATTTTTGTTGATTAAAGGGAATTTGCCAACATGAATGTTTGCCTTATAGCCTAAGGGTGCCTGCGTCAAGAATACTTTAAGCAGCAACAAGAAGGTGCCTAAAAATAGGAAAAAGGAAATGGATTTAAAAAGGTGAAAAGGGATTTTCTCGACATCGACACCAAATTGGCTGACCAAATGGTGTTGATGCGTATTATTATGGCAAGTAAAGCTGTGTCTTTGTTGTAGACAGCTGTCGGAGTGACAGTGTCGATAGGCTGATCGCCTCAGTGGATCTTATTTTGGCACTCATAAGACACTGCTTCTCTAATGGTGAATGGGAGAGACATAGGCTGTAGTATCATCCTTGACTATCATCAAGGAATGAAAAAATTACAAGAATACCCGTAAAGAGGCACATCGGCATCGCTCCTAGCCTTATAAATGAGAGGCCGGCATTAGCATATCCAACACGATTAGTATCCAGTGGCAGGACAGGCAAATGGCGCCATTCGATTAACTCACAATGAGTACATCACAAGTTGTTGTTTGTGTAAGTTGCCCTTTAGTCTAGTTGTTGCCTTTGTGTCACGATCTCTCGTTTGCATCCCTGTCAGTGACAGTCCAAAACCCATCTGTACTTTAGCAATGCATAATGCCTTGCGCTCTCTCTCAAAACTACCATAGACCACAACAGTTATTGCAATAAGGTGTGCTTGAGATTTGGCACACCTAAAATGACTTCCTAAAGTAATGCAATCATTTTCTCAAACACTAGTTTCTAACCACGAGGGCGAAAGATAGCGCATTGTAAAACAGTGGTATAATTCGTGACTTGGTAGACACATCCTCATAATGTATGCGGAGTTGGTCATATCCAAGTGATAAACTAGGTGTGCTGTACCGACTGGAGAATTCTCTGGAGGTAGATGAAATCGTAATTACATCGTGTTGGCAGATTTGGGCGTTTTAAATGCTTTGCCATCCAGAGTAATTGGTATCATGATGTCATTGAGGCCTGAGAAACCGGAGTTGTGGGGCAAACGGCTAACAAAGTTACGCAATATGAGCAAAGAAAGAGATATAAAAAGTGATTGGTTTAAGACAGTAAATATTTTATTGCTTGATTTTTGAATGCTCACAAAGAAATTCCCACTAATGCTAAAATTGCGAAAGTGGAACGTATTTTGTCCAAGTTCATCTAATCGTACCTCACGAAAGTGCACGAGTGCAAAAAGATTCGTGTTTGTAGATTGTCTGAAGCGGTGAACAGGGCCTACAACTAACATTAGCTTCAATGACAGCAATTCATGTCTGCATGAGATTGTGTGCACAACAGGAGATTGACGAGTCAAATCCTCTCAGTGGTTGCTCCACGAGGAGGTTTTGCGTGACAGAGTGAGGCGTAATGTTAGGACCACTCGCACAACTATTCGTTGTGATGCCGTGGACACTGCCGCAATGCGGACAGTGCACATTCTGTCCGTGAA